TAAGAAGCAGAGCTCAGATTTTGGCTTTTGAGGGGCTAACCTGCTCTTTCTGTTTTGTCCAACAGTCTTCGTGCCTGGCCAAGGTCAGTTCCACTTGGACTGTCTTTTTAACTTCGACGAGATATAAAGGATTTGCTGCCCACCCCTTCAGACTTCTCTTAGTGACAAGCTGGCATGATTGCGCAGCCCCGCTTTCACTTCGAGGAGCTGCAGAAGCACGCAAATCCTACAGCGGCTAAACAATCAACCCTCAACAGATGCGGTCGTGAAATCGAAGGGACACACGTGGCCCAAAGCACTTCACATTTGCAATATTTAATAGTTGATTCATATTTAACATCTATGCAAAGTGCGTGCACATGTAGAAGGTCTCATATTCACTAATTTACTCCAAGGAGCATCCGACGGCGCAGCTGCTGCGCCTCCACTGCTGGATTTAGAAGCGAAACCCTTACTTGGCTCTCTGTGAGGACTTCCCAGCTTCGCAGGAAAGTTGTGGCTGCCCCCCGCCGTCTCGGGGTCCCAGCGACCCACGAGTGTCAAGTGGTTGTTTGCTTCCAGTGCCTCAGCCTTCTGCAATTCAAGTCAGAAAGAACACAGCATTTGCAGTTCAGGATTTGCGTTTTAGGCTCGGAGCTGGAGCTGCTGCAACAAAGCCATGAAGCCTTTATCCAGAGCTTTGAGGAAGCGATTGGCTTTTCTGTACTGTTTCACCGCGGCCAGCTCGCAGGCTAAAGCCAAACCTGCAAATTCTAATTCCTGGCAATTTAGTCTGAAGGCACAAGGCTTAGTCCGTAGAGCCTAGAAGCTTTAACTAGGAATGAGAGCTGAATGTCAATGGGCACTTACCTCGAGCGGCAAATCGCTGAAAATGTGCAGCACGAACGCCCCCATAGAGTCAGCGGTCTCTAGACATGGGGAAATAATGAGTGGCCCCTGCGACACTCCGGGGAAATTTGAGAAGCACTTTTCAAATCATTAGCCGCATAATGCTAAAGTGACTTTAAAATGTAGGAGTCCCAGATTCTACGCTGTTAGCCAAGGCTCCAGCTCACGGCTCCCCCTAAGACTGTCAGCTTCACAGAGCATTTGTCTTCTCCAAAAGCTTCAACAAACCACTCGTCGGGCTCCACCTGCGCATGCAGAGCCCGAAGAAACGAAGTGGCTTTCGCGGCTGCTTAGAGTTGGGGGCAAAGAGCTCTCGGGTATAGATGAGAGCCTAGGGCTGACTGTCAGTTTGCGGAGAAGTTTTGGCGGCGGTTCTGGCGGCTTCGCGCCAAGCCAGTTGGCCCTGGAACCACAGCAATGCATCTTGAGACAGCTGGAATTAGTATACACCTTTGCTCGCTTAAGTCTGTTGCAGTCTCGCGTGTCAGCTGGCTGAAAATCCCACAACCCTTGGACGGAAACTGCAGCGGAGAGAATACGGTTGGTTCTAAGAGGAAATGGCAATTAATGCTTTAGGGTTTATTTTTTTGAAAACCCCGGTTACTCGGTCGGTTGGCGGGCTGAAGAGCAAAGGATCTTCTCCACGTCGTTTGCATCCTTGCCGTCTCTCAGCAGCGCAGCTACGAGCCCCACCTGCAGCATCAACAGGAACAGCAGCAACGCGAATAGCAGCAGAAACAGCAGCAGAAACAGCAGCAACTGCTACAGCAACAGAAAGATGAAAACTTTTCTCGTCGTTACGACGCAGACAGTGCACGGCGGCAAAGTTTTCGGCTGTCCGCTTAGGCAGCAAATTGTTTGGCTAGCAAACTTGCTCGCAGCTAGCGGGAGAGCAGTCTCGCTAGAAAACGGAGTTCCGAGCTGCCAATGTGGCAAGAAGGAAAAGTATTCGACTTTAAAGAGAAAGTGCTTCTCACGCGTATTGGAGCTTCGTTCTTTCTTCTGGATTTCTGCCTTGAGACAAGGATGCAAATGGTGGTTTCAGGAAACCTGAGAATAAGTGACAGCTGTTCAATATATGGCATCTCGAGGCCTTCTCTACCAGTCCCTACAGTGTAAGCCACAGCTCTTGTTAATGTGCATGCAGATTAATCATCTCCCAAAATGCGCCATCTACAACGCGACATATGGCGGAGGGCTCATGTGAACTTGACTGGACAGCGCTCAGAAGCCAAGTAACTGACTGGCCAGTAGTTGAACAGCTAGCTAGCCAGCTAGCTAGCTTGTGGCTTGTGTGACTAGCTAGTGTGGATTGTTTCTGAGAAAGCTCACGCTGGGTTTGCGCAGACCGCATACTGTGGATTCGTCGGCCACCTGGAATTGAAGACGTGGCGGCGGTGAGGTCCGAGGGTCAACAGCCGCCCTCCTGCATCTCCGCGAAGCAAACCAAACGTATGCAGCAGAAACAGTTTCAAAGAAGCAGTAGCCGCCTCACGGCCACCAAGCCGTAGACAGGAGGCTCAAAAGGCTTCGAGCCTCTCAAGGGCTGACTCTCTGCTGCCTCTCGAGAATCAGCTAAGTGACTTGCAACTATTAGATCATCACAACCCACCAGCAGTGCCGCGTGTCCAGACACCCGAAAACTCGTAATGCTGAGGCGGAGGGAGCCGCTCGACGCGCACCTGCATGCATGCATAAAGCAACAGCCCACCGCTAGCTGAGGCAATAATACAGCTAAATCGTCTCTCCTTTTCTGCCTTCGTTTCCCAGAAATCAACGGTAGGAGATGCAAGCAGCGAGAAAAGCCTGTTGCCGCATTTGAGACGTAGCTATTGTAGTCAAGGGATGGAGGGCTGGCTCCTGGCGTACAGGTTTTGAGCTAAATGTGCGGAATATGAAGTCGTTCGGGCGGAGGTTTGGGCTGTCAGATGCCACATTTTGGTAGCAGACGACTAGCAGGCGGCGCGTGTTCTTGATGGGGGTCTTCCGGGCCCCCCCCTTGTTGAAGAACCCGAGCCGGAGGCAGCTGTTTCTCCAGGGGCCCTTTGCCTCGGGAGCCCCAACTAAAACTCCAGGCAAGCAGCTAGCTAAGCAACAACCACCGCCCTTCCAGGGCTGCTCGCACGCCGGCCGCTCGCCCTCGAGTACTGCTTGAGATATACCCAATAACTTTGAGTCCGAATAAGACCATATGCGGCGGTGGTCCTGCAGAAAACCCAAATTTCAAATCCCAAGTTATGAGACCCTCCAAAGCTAAGTCTGGGCTTGGTGCTGCATGCATGCAGTGTGTGCTGAACTCGGAGCGAGGGGCCACAGTTAGCTGCTGCATAAGTCACCCGAGCTTTGAAGACCGCCATGCTGATTGGGGCCACATCGAGGCTGCTGTTCTGCGTTATGGAAATGAGCATGTCTAGCTGAGGCTGCTGCTCCTGCGGCTGCTGAGTCCACAGCGGCTCTTCCCTTGAACCGGTCTCTTGCTGTTGCTGCTGTCGCTTGTTATCATCGTAATCACTGCCAGCAGCAGCACCCGCTGCAGTGGCAGCGTCCGGAGGGGCAACGGAAATCAAAAACATTGGAGCGTTTACCCACGCTGTGTCGAACCCATCACCTCCAGGCTCGTAGCGGACGAAGGCCGAAGGCCGGCTGACTGCAGTGTACATAAGACCTCGCAGCGTAGCCATGCTGCCACGTGGAGTTCCTACAGTTGTTCTTGCTGCTGCTGTGCCTGCTGCTGCGCTAAACGACTCTGCGGCCGCTGGAGGCCGTGATGTGACTTGGGCGATGCTCCCAGAAGCAGCAGCCGCAGCCACGAGGGTGCCGGAAATAGTAGCGGCAGCAGCTCGTGAAGAACCGAAGGGGCCAATGCCGCTGCTTCCGCCCGCCGCAGATGTTGCACAAGCAGCTCCTAGCAACTGAATGCCCCACGTCTGGCACGAACCCCCCGTTGATGGCCTCCTTATGGTGTCGCGGAATTCTCCGCCGTTGCTGTTGCTGCTGCTGTTCTTATCAGTGCTGCATTGCCGCGGGCTCTGCTGCGGTGTCATTGCTGGCCTGAAGGCTGCAGTGGCAGCCCCACTGCATCGACTCCATTCACGAGGCAGCCCACAAAGTGACAAGTCTCTCCAGCTGTCTTCGTGTGTTGTCACATATATTTCGGAGCCTCCGCGGTAGCGCCACACCTCGTTTGTACCTTTGGTTTCCGTAGACGATTCGTTGCAGCTGCAGCAAGCACTGCAAACCCGAAATGTGAAAAATAGAGTTTAGAGCTCATGCACTGTAGACCAAAAAGTAGACAGCATAAACTCAAGAGCTCACGCACTCTAGTCCTCAGAACGAATAGCAACAGCCACATTCGCCTTGTCCAGGTTCTTCTCAGCTCACATATCTGCCTTCGCAGCCTCTGCACTTGGATCTCCTGCTGCATGTGACACTGCTGCTAATTGGCTCTCACGGGCAGGAGCATCCTCGGGGGAAACTTCTTCGTGCGGGCCCAGTAGCTGCTGCTGTGGACACCTATGTTCAGGGGCCAAATTGTGGCAGAAGAAAATATCCGTAAAAACTTCTAGAAATGACTCGAACTTCATCCAAAAGGAAGCTGGAGTGTCACCAAACTTGTAATTTAGTCTTTCCTTTAAGTCTGCAAAAATCAAAAACAGTCCAAAAGACAACGGGCCCCTCAACCTGCAGCGGGTTTCACCACCGCAACGGACGTGTAAAGTTGTATGTGCACTGCCTCATTCTGCAGAAGAAGCAGAAACTGCGCTGCTGTACTGAATGCTGCTGTGACTAGTTGCTGTCCCCAACAGTCCAGCACATGCAACAATACGATGCACCAGGATCTGCCTTTGTAGGGACTACCGCATAGACTTTATCCCCATTCGGACCTGGATATTGGGTCCAAGAGCGATGGTAGTCTGAAAATTCCCCTCTCCATGTTGGAACTTTCCAAGGATTGTGGAGGCGTAGCAGCCGCAGATTATCCACCTAGCATGCCAGGTCGCATGCCAAGCGGGATTCCGCGAATACGGCTTATTGCTAAAAGTTCTACTGTTCATATGAAACTCTCGTCACTTGATTCTTGCTGCACCACCTCATATGAGCTTGTGCTGTCACTAGACTAGATTAAAGGGCCAAAGAGGAAAGTGATCCGTAGCCAATAGCGTTTTGGGAGCCGTTAGGGAATTAAGTATGCGTACTCTAACAACATCAATGATGGTGTAGTGCCGATCAGGCAATATGTTGTCCTTTTCTACGTCTGCTCCGCGAGCCACGCACGTCAGGAAGCAGTTCCCGAGAGAGAAAGCCCTAAGTCCAGCAAGAACAGAACCGGCCAATGCAATTGCACGTTTTGATTCACTTGCACATAGTTGCGCCTGCGCACGCAAATGTATATACTTTCTGCATGGAGACTGGGCACCTATGCCTCCAGCTTGGGTGTTTTGCAACAGCCAGAGCCATGAAGAGCTTGCAACGTAAAAGGGGCCGTAGAATGGCTGCCTCACTTTCGAATCTTGGCCCAGATGACGGAAGCGTCAAAGCACTTGACCTCCGTCTCTTCAACTGAACAGTACGAGGGCCGCAAAAGATACGCCTGACACTTTAGGGACTGAGTTTCTTGAAATTAGTTGGCTTTCAGTGCGCCCAGGATAGATGTTGTATACGTGAATACGTGATACACATGCATACGTATATATATAGATACGAACCGTAAGTTACTGTTTCTTTACGAAATTGCCCTGGTCATAATGAGCTAAATTTGGTAACGGATACTGTTTTAGCACTAGAAAATTAAAACGTTTACAAGTTGTATCGGATCCTCTGCTTGTGAAGTTAAATTGCTCTTTTCGCAAGTAAGTTAAGACGAAACTTGCTTTTTCCTATCTGCTTTTCGACTTATTTCTTTCAAGAGAGTTGCTTCACACAACGTAAAAGTTTATTCCAAATTTGTTGCTGCAACTACAGCTGCGAAAGTAGAGCTGGAACTAAATTTTATATTCTTTGCCTGCGGTTTGCGGCTAAAGATCAGGGGCAGCACAGCGACGGACCGACGCCTCCTGTCAGGTCTACAGCAATATCTCGGAATGCCCTGAGACCCAACAGCGCAGCGGAGAATGAAAATTAGCATTTCAGGGAGTTTTGGGACTTCAATATGGCTCGAACGAAGTTTGGAATGCTGACGTTACCTCTGTGCCACAGCCTCATAAGACCCGAGAAATTTGGCGTAAGCCTTTTCCAAAAGAGGCAGCCACATTTCCTCAAAGGCGTGGCAGTGAGTGAAGCTGCACATAAAATGCCAATCCAGAAGGCTCATTGAGTCAGCAGCAGCTTCATTATGGGCCACGACGTTATTTCCAGGCTAAAGTTCAGCACGAGCTAGGCCTTCGCAGAAATGATGGCGACCAAGAGCGACTTTGATTAGGCAAATTGTATCAACGCTTCGACCCCAGCGTGCTTCTCCGGGGTTCAGCTGTTGACTAGCGCCTAGTGGGCTCCTCTCCTAGCACACTGAAATGCCTCAATAGTATCCACACTCGTGCCAAGAATCTCAGTCTCAATAATGCCAAAAATGTCATGTGCTTTGCTTCCTCCGCGATGAGGAAGGTTGGCACAACTTGCTGACTGCTAGGATGCTGGCACAGCACAATGGCTGTGAAGGAGCTCCATCAGCATATTGGGAAGCCCCCCATAGCATATTCGGAAGCGGTGATGATGTAGGCATGCAGTGTCGTTGGAAATTGGTTTGTTGTTTTGTATCCTTCCTTTCAAATAGACTAATACTGGCACTGCACAGACTATGGAGCTCTAACTTTGCCTAAAGCGCTGAAAGCAAAGCCCTACGCAAACTCTATGGGAGGGTCGCCTGAGACTGTTTGAGCCTCTGTAGCCTCCAGAATGTTCCTGTCGCTTCGCTTGGTTTTCTGTTTGGCAATAGTTGTATGCGAGCTGAAGGAAAGTGGACCAGCCGTATCATCTGTACCCTCCACTCCTGCAACAGAGCCAGCAGCAACGTTCCCGTCTGGATCCCGAGCCGATGTTGTGGAAACCGTTTCTTTCCTGGTACCACTCCGGGACCTCCATGTTTCGGAGCTGCTGACTCTACTAGAGCAGCGGGACCTTCTGCTGTGTTCCTTTGGCTGCTGTGCAAGGCGGCATGGTAGCCGAGTGTCAATAGACACCAATTCTCTCTCCCCCGACCGGAAAAAAGCAACGCGGAAAATCCCACTCCTAAGGCAGCGAGAAAGCATAGATACATCGGATGCATGCTTAAACGCTCTTAGGGCCTTTCCATCGCTCAATTATTTTTCAACTCGCCGGCACTTTGGCACTTCCTGGAGCCACTGCCTCCCCCAAGTGCAGCTGCGCGACTCCGCTAGCCCTGACTTGGTGCGATGAAGCCGAGTATGTTAATTACCTCCAGTGTTCGGGATGCAACAGAGCGTCTCTTATTGCTGGGGGGTTCGAGGCGGCGAGGCCGCTCGCGACGGCCGCAAACGCGTGGGATGCAAGGATGCCGTAGGCTACAGTTGAAGCAATCCTGACGCTGCTAAACAAAATCGCAGTCTTTTCTGTCTGTTGCTGTATCTGCTGGTCTTGTTGCTGCTGTTGCTGCTGAGGGCGCGAAGCTCGGTGGGCCTTTAACTGCTGTTGCTGAATGCGCTGGACAATTTCGTTAGGCCGCAGCCACAGTAGCCCGTTCAAGGCCCTTAAGCTCCCACGGTCACCCTCCTAAACACAAGAGTACAATGCGCGCATGGACCTCAGGTTCAAACGCGGTAAGCGCTCCTTCTTCACCTTTAGTACATTTGTCAGCCGTGCTACTGCAGCCCCTAGTTGCTGCAAAAACACACATTTAGCTCGATCGGTCGGTCAGACTGAGCATTGGGGAACTCGTGATCAACAAATAGATCGTCCTCTTCATGGTTCCCCCACTTCTGCTGTAGCGCATTGGAGGCAGAGGCAGAAATCGAAGCCATGCCGTCATGCCGGTGAAGCTCGTGCACCTCTACACGTGGCTCATCTATCAGCAATTGCTGATGCTGACTAGTTGACGGATCAGTTGTATTGCCACCGAGAGGCCTCGACTGGGAGGCGTTCGGCGATGCCGCGCCTAACTGCATTGGACACCTTCCTCAAATTTCTCAAGGGAGCTGGCTGCTGGGGCGTAGAACACAACTAAATGTGAATTTGGCTACAAGGTTGCCCAAGAAAGGGAGGCCCTAGAGACATCGTGTTAAGTCCCAATATAACTGATGTCGTAGTGATGTCACAGATGTTTAAGTTGCTGGAGGAACGCTCATAGTACGTCACACGTGCAATTTATCATCAGGTATGTGTCCGCATGTAGCATATCGTGTCAAGATATGTTCTGACTAGCAGCAAAGGAACAATGTGCATAAGCGGAGTGTAGGCATCCAAGAGAGGCTGTTGTTACTGCAGAACGATATATCGTACTGTGCTATATCCCCTAAACACTTCTAAATAACTTCAGAGGTCGAAGTTTAGGAATGTAATGCAAAGTTTCAAGGGTGTTTGTAAATGGCATCTAGCTGTCATCAGCCTGCTGAGACTCTGCATGCATCTGTGGACTCTCCCATGTTTCAATTACGTAGGAAATGAGCATATAGTAATATCAGTTATAGCGCCTTCGCATTGATGCCGTTTTTCTTGTCTTCTTCGGGATTCTTTTTGGTCTAGTGGTTCCGGTGGAAGGGCCAGAGTAGCAGCCCCAAGTGGAGCTCTAGTATTCTGGCACACGTGCAGAGTCTCACACAGTGCACAGGCGTGAGTTTACCGAACCGTGAATTTGAAAGCAATTGATTTGCACTATTTTATTTGTCAAAACGCTCAGAAATAAGGCTGAACCATCCCGAAACTACGTGGAGGCTTCCAAGGGGCCTCTGTCGCGGGTTTGGTGTAGCGGTATGGCACCATGTACAGATCTGCAATCATCTCCAGAAGCTGCCTTAGGTCGCAAATTCCGCAGTTGTAAAGGGCATGAATAGGAGGAGAAAGATCTTAATCTATGCTGGTGCGGTACTCCGTGGACCCGTGGATTGCAGAATTATCGGCTGATCATACATATATTACCATGAGGTGCCATGAACGTGAAGTTATGAGGTTGAAATAGAAAATAATAGTACAATATAAATTGAAATATCGCTGAAGCATATTTCAAAGGAGACGAAATGAGCACTAGAGCCCTGGTAGCCAGGTGACCAGACGCAGCGGAGCCTGCAGGTTGCCTCACCAAGTGCAGGTTTCTTGTTGGCGTGTCCCTGAGTATTGAGGCTTCCTGAGTCCTTGGAGTATGGTGAATCGTACCTTGGAAATTAACTGTGAATTGTTTATAGCGGTTGGATGATAGTTGATGAGGCATCACATATGGGACATTCACGCCTATATGGCCAGCTGCTTATAGGCACACCTCAGCTATTTCAGAGACTCGGAGGCGGCTGTTTCAAAGAACTGGAACTTACGGTTGAAGGGTGCTTGAGCTCTGTTCCAGTTGATTCTTTCACTCTTACTGAGAATTTGCACATAGACACACCTTCCTTTGCAGCCACAGTGTTCCTGCGAAGCCCTTTTTCCCAACTTCACTATTAAGGTCTAGCCAGTGCTCACAATTTTTCCGATGGGGCTGACTGAGAATTTCAAACGAAGGGGGCACGTTTTGTAGAATTGCAGGATCAAAGAAACTTCCTTGTACTAAAGTAGCTGCGCAAGGCGATGAAATTCTTTGCATTTTCTAGATGAGTTCACAGGAAAGAGAAGCAGAATAAAGCTGAACAAGACACTCTGTAAAATTTTTATTTCAGTTCGCATTGGTGGTGGTTATGTGTGAAAGCACCATCGTGGGTTACAGGAGCAATAAGGGCAGCCACGTGATGAGAGCAGCTTCAAAGGGAAGGTACAGAGCACTAAAGCCAAAGCGTGAAGCTCTTGAATACATAAAAGCAGAAGTTAGGATTTAACACGGAAAAGCAGCGGAATCTGGTGAAAAGATGAAGCGTGTTACCAGTGCTTCTGCAGAAAGAACGGAAAGTAGTGGAGCCAGGAAACCCAGGGCTAAGAGATTCACATTTCTGAAATTTAGCCGAGAAAGTTTAGTGCCAGGAAAGAAGCAAACTAATGGCCTGAAATTCGGGATACAAGCTTTGCAAGCTTATATAAAAAAACCTGGTTCGCTATTTATGAAAATCCTCGAGTACCTGGCGGCGGTTAAGCACCACGTAAGCCGTCCTCACAAGCGCATTTTATCACATATGAGCTTGAATATTCAATCACCAGTCACTGAAAGATTTAGGCTCCATAAACCATAATTAGTCCGACGTTCCAGAATATATCTGGAAGCCTGACTGCGCCTACGCGTGTCGAGCAGCTGAGTCCAAGAGTAGACAGACACGCAGAGCTTTTCCGCTATATATAATAATCGTAAGTAACTCAATTCACGACTAAATAGCACAAAATTTTTCTTCAAAATTAGATACATCCAAATAGAACCAAAGCATAATTGGATTCCCCTTTCAACGTTCAGCCTCCCAGCAATTACAGCATCGCTTACCAATTCGGTCCGTAGTGTGTCTTAATGCAGCTTACACGATTTAGCGACCCGTATAGTGGCTTCACCTTTATTTTTCATAGCACAAATAAAAATCATTTAGTCTGTTTTTGTTGTTTGTCCAAGCATCTAGTTCACCCATTGTAGTGCCTAGCAGCACACTGCTTTTTGTCTTGCAGTCCAGCGTAGTGCCTGCCTGGCCCAACGCACAAAACCAAGGCAGTGCTGAACCCCATATTGATAGGAAGCAAAACTTACTAAAAACTTCAAATATTCAGGGCTCTCGGTAGTTCAGTAGTCTATGGGAGAGTAAAGGTGGATGGTGTCCACCATCTGCAGTCCCCGATGGAACCCCACTGGCTGTGGGGGTGCGGCCAGATCGTCCTCAGCCGGGCACACGGGATCCTTGTGAAGATGCCATGAATAACGATACTACTATATAATCCTTCGTACTATTTAAATCATGTTTCACTATTGAGTACATCAGGCAGCGATAAAGTAAACCGTCAACATATGGGGAGACGAGCCCGTAGGCTGGCTGTCCCTCCCAAGCCCACTGAGATGGGCAGGTAAGCAAGCGAAATCACTTGCTTGTTGATCTATGGAGATGTAACATTTTAGTTTTTGACCTGTTATGTCTTTGAAAGCTACAGCTATCAGTGCTAGCGGTTTTCCATTGCCCGTATCGCCCGCAATCAGTATCTCAAGGCCTGCTGAGCATTGCTCAGAGCAGATGCATTGGGCGTTAATTCCAGATGCCGTGGGGCTTTCTTATGCGCAGTCATAGTCGTGAATTCCCACATTGACAAAGTTATTGTAAGTGAAATAATATGGAGAGGGATTGCTGAGGATCGGTTGCTCAGGGGTTCATTGCAGTTCATTGTGGCGCGGTGCTGTTGAAGAGCATTTCCATATGCAGTTGGACGAGACAAGCTGCAATAGCTAGGAGGCATTCGGCACCACCGATAAAGTGTCTTTTGTCCCAACCGAGACTTGCAGCAGCAGTTCCTCTGGCCGTGGGTTTTTTCAGTTGGAACACTGTTACAGCTTACAGTGTTGAGCTGCATAAATGTGGGTTGAAGCAGAGTGAGCTCCGCAAGATGCCTGCAGGTGAAACAAATCTCCGCGTCGCCTCCCCCACAGTGCTTAACAGCACTGAAGCGGCGCCTTTCTCCACACCAGGCGGAGCAGGGAATCCGTGCCCGGGAAGCCTCTGTAGCCGTAGAGCGCAGGGTTTCGTAGAGATTCGTCTTTTTAAAGGTTTTGGAGTGGTTCTTGCAAGCCTAGTGGGGGCGTTCTTGGTGATGAAGTGCAGTCGAGCTCTTTCTGAGACCGAGACTTCTCCTGCTGCCCAAAGAGCCCTCGCAAACGAGCGACACTGGTACCCTGTGGGAATGTGTGGTTTACTCGGTGCTGACGACAGCTCAACTTCTGAAAAGGTGGAAGGCGGCGGCGTAGAGACAAAAGCACCGTTGGGTCTTGCAGGCCGCACTTTGGGCCCTTTTCCAGTGGCCACGGCTCCACAAAGTTTCACAGTGCAGGCATTACAGGCTCCTGCACCGCCTCCTGGAATCTCACTGGGAGCTGTATCCATTTCTCAGGTAGGAAGCGCCTCAACTGCGGAGGAACAACCGCATATCCCTTTCACATTCCCCTCGGAGGAGGCACCCTGGTTCATAGCAGGACCGGTCCGTGACGAAGGTCTTAGTGGGCCGTTCTACGGTGTTCCGGTCGGCGAACCTATTCCAGGGCCCTCCCAGACTGGCTCATATCAAGGTGCTCCGGGACACACGCCGCCGCTTTTATTCGATCAACTGAGTGGAGTTGGTGGACAGTTCGTGAGAACGTCGGTGCTTACGTCAGGACAGCAAAGCCAGATTGTTCAGCCAGCTCATGTTGACGGTACCTGACGTTGTCGGGGCATGACATTTTTCTACTGGGCGTCTTATTAGCGTTTCTGCCAGATTTCACGTGACCAAGAAATTTTGGCGTCCGGCCCAGCATAAGTTGACTACGAAGATTCACTAACCTGGGATGCCTTTGCTCTGTACGCGGCATAGGACTCCTATGAATAGACCTTAAGAGGTCCATTATGCTTTTTGCTTTCAGCGAGCGGCGAGCTTCTTCCCCCAAAGAAGCTCGCGAAGACAGCAGAGCACTTTGGAAGCAGCAGTCAGCTGCCTTGCATCCCCTAAGTGGCTCCACAAAGAGCAGCTTTCACTACCAAAGAGACACACCTTGCCAGAATCCTGCGGATTGAGGGGACGGCGCAAGGTAGTGTTCATAATTCATAGTTAGCTTGAAGGCAACCAGAAGCTCTGTCAGTGCTCCTGTATGGTGGCAGTCGACGAAGTCCTGCTCCCCCATCGAGGACATGACGTCGTAATGTTACACAATGTTCCAAGTAGAAGTAGTGCCGTCTGGATTTCCAGGGTCCACTTCTGGACAGTGCCCGCGACTATTCAACTGGTGGGGTTTGTCGCGTCAGGCCTTCCCATGCAGGGCAAAGTACTACTCCTTCAGTTACTGAAGCAGGGAAGGATGTTAGCTTGAAGCGGTGCGTCCGTGTTCCTTTTTGTTCACTAGACGACGCTGCCTGGATTTGTATCAGCAATTGGCGCAAACAAAATTTGCTAAGTGCCAGCAACGAGGCCTTTTAACGCTACCAATATTCTTCAGTATGTTTGTGACCTCATACAAGATGGCCAGCGGAAAGGTGTTCCTGGGGGAGTAGGACGGTTGGAAGAGTTTGCAAGTCACCCATTTGCCCGCACTGCGGATCCTATTGTGTAGCGTTTTTTTCTGAGATTTACCTACTTCATTTCTAGGAGTAGGTGCAGTTTTTCTACTGCTGTAGGAGTGGTTTCCTGTGTCCTGGCTGCCAGTGCCCTTAGGACAGGGTAGTGGACTGTCAGATTTTCCTCATTGTGTTTGAAGTTGTAGCAGCGATAAGAGTGCCCAACTTTGGAATTGCAGTCATCCAAACGTCATTGTTCCTTCGAACCGGCAGTTGCATGAGCCATTTCAGCCGCAGCAGCATTTTCTGTGTCGCTGTAGGATGCCCTGGTTGAAGGTGAACTCCTAATCTGCCATTCTGGGTGTGTATGTGACGGCTTCCGCACGTCATGCGTAGGGCCTATGCCGTAACTGTTAAATTGAGTAGGAACATTCAGCACTTTTTCAGTTGCAAATAGATACAGTGAAGAGTCTACGATCGCGCAGGAATAGGGACCGCACAACGGGAGTGGAGCGCTGCACGGCCGGTTAGACCAGGCGATGCCGCAGTTAACCAACGGTTCTCAGTTAGCCATTTTGGAGACGACGCACGATGTGTGTTTGTAAGTTGATCCCGGTCTGGTAATAGGTTTTCAGCGTCGTTCGCTTCTGCAGGTTCGAAACCTGTCGGCTTTGCTCCGATGTGGACGCTTTCGACGTCATGGGTTAATGGCGGTGAATCCCCCAGCTGGCATAGGTAGGGCAGACGAGAATCCTACAATAGGGCTCAACTGCTGAATGATTCGGCGTTGGCAATCCACCCAGGTTTAAGCGGTTCAAGTACACCGATGCTTACGTCTGTTGTATGGGCCTTGATAGCAGGGGGAAGCTCCGTGGAGCTTTCAGAGGATAGTAGTGAAAGGCTTCTTTTCAGCATGAATACGACGTTGAGACAGTTTGGTGACATTGTGCGAACCCTTCGGTATGTGCTCAACAGTATGTGCGTAGCTGATCTCCTAATCGCAGGTGAGGTGTGGTACATCCTAAAACACACCGAGCATAACCTCCTGTCAAGGGGGATTACGCCTCCTCCAGAGTAGATTTCACTAATTATTACCTTCGCTTGCATAGTGAAGTGATGAAAAGGATTTCTTTTGGGTCAACCGAGGCGTAAAAACTTAGCAGGGGTAAACTCGCATGTGGACAAAAGTTCCCAATCCAAGCACTAGCTTGCTCAGTGACAAAACAGAGCGTGACACCGCAAGCTGTTCTGTGGACTACTTTCAGGGATGCCAGCAGAAATCTCTGATGCTAGTCAGTTGATGTCACGAACACAGTGCCGTGCGTTCGGTGGCCCATACATGAACGACTCTCTTCTATGGCGGCTAGACAGAAGACCCATCTGTTAAGAATCGCTGTATCTCGTTAAATATGTCAATCCCCTTGGAGTGCAGCTACGTCTACAGCTCAAAGGACAGGCCACTTACGTTTATCTAGAAACTTCGGCTGTCTGTTTGCAGAAACGACACTTGATCGTGCCTGCAACCAAACAGCTCACATTGACCTTACCCTGAAGTCCATGTTGCCTTCAACTTTCAAAGTTCTTTCTCGCTAATTATTTCTTCAGTATAAAAAAGGATAGAGGTCAGTTTACGAAGAAGGCAAGCCAAAATTGCAATATCCCGAAAGACACACGCCTATCTTTGCGAGTAATCACGTAACTAGCTGCGACAAAACACACGTGTTGCAAGCTGCAACTGCGTGAAATCCTAGTCCTGAAGAGAAGCACTGGCTTGAGAATGATTACAATCTGCCTTATGCACGAACATGTGCTTTTTACTCCTGTGCGCAGCTCCGGTACCAGGTGAGGGAAATCACGTTGCAGAAGACACGCGACTTACTTTTAACGCGTTCCTAGGGCTTGGATAAATGAAATGTCAGGCAGCACGGCAAATGACTTGTTTCTTATCATATGCAGAGGGTACGATATGCGGATCGGCCCATAACTCGATATATGTAAGGTTTCGTTCGATGCTGACCCTCCTGGGCTGAAAGGAGCCACGTAAGTGGTCAGCGCTATAACGGCAAGTGGGGCATGGGATATGTTCACAAAGTAAACACTCCGTGGAGGAGTGGCGACTCTTGGGCAGCCCTGGTACAGAACTGCTCTTCATATCCATGTAGCATTGCTCAGCAGTACACCTCGATAAGTTTGATCGCCAAATATTGTGAGCTGCCTTCCTGAGCAATGCTCAAGAGTCAAAGTATTCTCAGGCACGCAAGCCTGATTTTGCAGGTCTCCGTACCATCTGCACCGCGCGCATTATCCAGCATCTACACGAGTGCCCAATAGATTTGCCGTACGCAAGGTGGGTGATGCACCGCAGACCTTGCACAGATCTACAGCTTCTCGTAGACGTTGAGCAGACCTCCAACCGCTCGGCCAAATGCGGAGGCCCCCAGAGAACGGAAAAGGCCTGTAGCAATACCGGAACATGTAAGACCAGAACAAGTTCATATGAAGCAACAAATCATGTAACATTTGCGATAGATAAGCCCAAATCAAACGCCTGGTAAAAATCTAGATATGCTAACAACGTGATTGAGGGACATGGGGATTCGAAGAACGACAGGGTGTCGACCTCACTAGTGTAGTCGCCGGGAGGCGGTGTTTCCTTGTAGTCGTAGCGCAAGATTAGTGTAGGACGAGGATGCCAAGTTTCGTTTGCTGTGGGGCACCAGAAGCACGCACAAACAACTAAACAACTAAAACCGTCAATATCGCATTGTACAACAATTCTTCTGTCGCATCCGCAGGACAGCGGCCTGACGGCGCTGGTGGATTCCAACAAGCACTGCATGGTGAATTTGTCCTCTTACCTAGCCCGCGATGCAGAAGTCTTGAGTCGTAGACAAGAGCATCACCTGGTTGCAACTCGGCCTTTACTGTCGAACCCGCTTCAACCAACTTAGTTGCGAAAACTGGCAGTAAGCTCAGCCAACGAATCCAACTATTTGCTCCCTCCACGAACAAGAGCAAACTCAAAACTTGTACATCAGTAGCCGGCCGGAAGTAAATGAAAGCCTATTGCTGCCTCATGCTGGTCAAAGGGATACCTATGGGTGCTGTCAAGATATGCTTTCAGTTTACCTCGCCGCTAAGGATGTGCGAACCAGGAAGAAGTTCCGTGGGGCCATTGCCGAGGTGTATAGGCACCAAAGGTATGACCACTGTCAACCCGCGGTAAGAGTTATCTCGATGCCAAGACTGGGGCAGCGCCAGTGCATCTGAAAAAAGGTAATACTGAGGTGCGCTTCTTGCGATGTTTTCTCAGTCCATGTGGTTTATACTAAGAAATGAAAAGATAATGCTGCAGTGGACATACCAGCATTCACCGTTTGCATTTCTGACACGAAGAGCCTGTGGTAAACACCCACGCACAAAACACACACGATCGTATAAAGGCACTGCTTGTGACTCAAATCACGCACGGCAATACTGATAGTGCGCGAAGATCCCACCGTGATCCATGGGCGTCCGACGGAACCCCAGATGGAAGGTATGAATGCACCAGCGGCATGAAAAGCCGCTGCAGACCAACTAACGACGGCTCCACCAACGAGCCACGAAGAAGGCAGTGTAAACGTCCTAAACGATATACAGATCTACTCAGAAGAAGGCACATAAGCTAAGCAAAAGCAATGATGAACATAATAGTTTATGGAGGCGGAAAATGACAGCTACATCAACAGCAGCAATCTCAAAGCCTCGCACCATATGTAGGCCTGGTGCAGTAAATATTCGGATCCACTTCTTTCATCTTCAATGCTCCTTCTGCAGCCTATTGACACAAACATTACTTTGAGGTTCTGTTTCATCCAATAGTTGGGGCGGCCCACCATCCCGAACAGTCGTATAATAACTATCGGCAACCTTACCGCTCCGCTGGCAGAAAATGTTGCCTTTTGTGCGTCTTGCAGTTGCTGAGGAGTTAGGGCACCTTTCAGGAGAACAAAACCTTGTCGCTCAATAGCTTCTTTCGCAGCCTTGACATCTGAAGCCCGTAGAAACAATGGGGCTCCCCGGTGAGTCTCTCGGGCTCTGCTTGTCTTGCACCTACAGCACAACAAAACCGCATTTACAGTAGTTGTAATAATTAGGTAGGTGGGAACATGCGGGCAGTGCAGTGTCTCTGCTTCTGGTTCTGTCACGTTAGTCAAGCGCTGATGCAGTGTTACCTCTCCACTTCGTCCGCGTAGGAAGCGAGAGCCATCGAAGTTCCTGCATCTTTTCCTGTATGCCTCGCTGACAACTGCCGAATTCGGGGAGGTGAGGCATCTTCTTTCCCCTGCTTTTGACCGGCGTGCAGCTGCAACACGCCGCTGCCTTCCCAACTGCTGCACAGACTGCTCAGGATGTCCTCATCAACTGCAGCAATAAATCGTTCCAGCGCATATCTTCCCTTTTCCGTTAGAAGCAGTGGAATCAGTGAGTCGGTAGCGCCGCTGCTGGTACAGTTGCGGGCAGCGCGAAGCTGCTGTAGCGCCCGCAACAGCTCGCGCGCTGGCTTTTCAAAATCGCAGGCTGACGCCACAGCGAGAAAAGCGGGATCGTAAAAGATCTCCTTAAAAACAGTTTCTGTTTTGCTGAGGAGCCAACGCATGTCTGCCTCTGCAGTCGATTGTTTCCTTTCGGGGTGTGCCGCGTGCTCCTCTTCCAAGACCGCAATGTCATTCAACAATGCAGCCTTCAGTGTGGCGCAAAAGAGGGTCTTCAGATGCATGTGGAGTTCCAGAGGGGCCCCCGCCAGAGCTGAGGCGACCAATGCAGAGGAGGGTCCCAGACGTGGATATGCTGCCGCTAGCTCTTCTGCCCATGAGCTGCCCAGGCCCTGTGCCGCTACTGCTGCCGCTGTTGCATCAGCTGCTGCCTCCGCTGCTCTGGAGGGAATTCCGCGAGCGACTAGCTTCTTCCGTTGCTCTTGCCTGCGCAACTCAGCTTCCTGTGCAATCATCTCGGAAGTCACTGGTTGGTACGGCCCTTCATATACTTCCGGGATGTTTTGCGGACCTCTCGTAGCTGGGGGATGGTGCCTCTTGTGTCGCCGTAGCAAAAGTAGTACACCGCCTATATGCACATGGAAATACAGAGACTTATCACGTGGTAAGCCGGAGAGCAACCTTCTACAGTGTTAGTGTAGTGGATCTACAAAACCTTTGCAGCTTTGCAAACACTCCAACCCCCAAGGACAAGCCGGCGACAGACAACATTGTACTGTTTCAAATCCTCGAAATATGGGCCAGCTTACTGCCAACAGCAGCCGTTGCTGCAGCGCCGACAATGCACTGCACGGCTATGCGGCTGGCTCGCAGCCTTATCGATGAGACTGTAAGCCGTACCATGACGACACAGGTGTACTGTATGCGTATGAAGATTACAACGGATATAAATTTGTCTTCCATAAGGCGGGGAAACAGTGTCAGAGACGGTTCCCTTATTCTTCTCAGTCATAGTATGGGGCCCCGCGGCAGGCCCCCCTCAACCACACTAGGAATGGGGCTTCTCGATCCACAACACAGAAATTTGTCGCAATTTTATTTTGTGAGCGCGGGTGAGCAGTACTAGAAGAGGGAGGACAGGAAATATGTGGGCAACTTCCACGTTGTGTTTTATCGTAACTATTGGAGTTGCTCACGTGCAGCTCTCTGGCCCATTGTCTTGGGTTTGCTTGTCTTATGGGCACAGTGCCCCACAACAAGCAGATGAACGTATTATAAATGATGCAATCCTGCTTGTCATATGCGCATAGTGCGCCACAACAAGCAGATGAATGTATTGATACAATCCATCTTATTCCCAAGAAATAGACGTACGGAAGGAAGGTGACTTGCGATTCAGCGGTGCCTCCCGTCCCAAGGCTCAAAACAACTGAACTATCTCTGGATTGTAGTTCCGGATAGTGTTACGGTGGTGTGGCGTGCTCCAGATGGCAATTTGCGAACATTTCAAAAATATGGAGTGGGTGGAAGCGTTTAAGGCTATGTCGTTCGGATGAGCACTTTCGTTCAGACAATAATACACTTTTCGGTCTGTTTAGGGAGTAACTTTTCGTTTTTCAATTGTCTGTCGACGAAACTCTGTAGTGTTCTTTAGGACAGCATCTTCGTATAAGATGCTGAGCTAGTGTGTGCTGTAGAGCTGTTCCATTAGCTTCTGAGAGCGTAGCGTTCCCAAAAGCATTCAGGTTGAATACTTGGTCTCCAATTACTACGCTGAAGAGGACTAGCGAAGTATGAAAGTTTTCGTTCGCCTAATGCGTCCGCGTTCCTCCATGTCCTGTTGGGCCCTACGATTGGTAAAGGAGCTGCTGCTATATCGAACCAGTTGCGCAACAATCAGAAAGGTCAAACCACATATCCTGTAAAAGGCCAGAGCGCTGCGGGCATTTCTGCTCTCCAGGCGCAACAGCAAATCCCGTGTAGGGTAAATCTGCGCAGTTCTGCTCATTGCAATGGAGGGTGAAACAACCTTTTTGAAGTCGCATTAGAGTGATTCAAAAGTATTCACAACAAAAATCAATTACAAAGTGTATAAAGAGATACACTCAACATCAACACCAACATTTGGATTCATGCGCAGATCTTGTGGCCCACAAAAAGGCATCGAGCGTTGCGAAGTGAGTTAACTTCGACTTTGGGAGGTGCTGGTTTGCTCGCCCGACGGTAAGACACTGAGCACCTTTGCATCCCTTTAAAACAAAAACTGAGTGGTATTTCAAGAGAAGCAAGATAATTAATCTTCTTAAACCTCATGTTTTCTCGTGAAGTGTATTTTAAATGGCAATGTGGATCTGCGTAGGCACTATGCTGGGCGCCCCGGCCGCAGCGCGCGTTGGAAATCGTCTGTAGCATTGTGTAAGAAGTCCTTCCTATTCGCTTCATGCATTTATCTGCCCGCCCGAGTCTCTGGTAGCAGATGAACGAGCTATAGTAATCTTTGCGCCAAAACAAATTGGCATGCGGCAAGCGGCGTTGAATGAGTGGACTCTAAAGCAGCGAACTGTTCCGAGCTAATTTTCACTGTTCAACTCACATATCCAAAAAATACTGGAGGGCCTCAAACTGGGATACAACTGGAGGGCTTCAACTGCAGGCATGTGCTTCAGAGTCATAGAAACATCCAGTGTGTGACAACCACGTTGAGGAAACCAGTCTACAGCTCAAAAGCTCCAGACCGAGACGTGACGCCCTTAACACGGCCACATGCTTGCGGCAAGGCTGCTGTCTTAATTCCCAAAACCATAAAGCGACTCTTGGTTTGTGCAGATGGAGTACATGTAGACACGTGGGCAGCCATTCCTCAATGGGCCGCAGGGGTTGAAGAATACAAAAACGCTGTCATTCGACGGTGCAACACTAGAGAATTACAACAGTACTTGGTTTTGCTGCACATTTTACAAAATTACTAGGCAAGGTCGCGCACCCAGTGCGGCGACTTTTCGCAGCCATGTGGGAGAATGACTGTTACACCTTCTGTGGTAGTTAAAGTGGCATTTACCTGCCGGCATCGTCGCAATACCCCCTTCGCTGAAAAGAATACCCTCGTGCGTATCTTCATATTCCTGCATCGATTTTGGGCATTTCGGCCATACACATTGTAACAGGGAAATCGAAGCAGATCTCTTCTATTGGTGCTTCTTCCGCCATCATGGGTAGCTCATTAATTTCCCATTGCGAGGGCACGCCAAACTTTGCAAGTGCTCCTAAGTCAACATATTATGCTCTAAGGATTCAACTGTCTTCCCACAGCAGGCTGTGCAGCGTGTGAGCCCAGCTCCGTCCTCCTGCTCAGCAAGCTCACACCATTTCGGATGAAGCTTTCATCTAATAGCAGCGCATCCTTTTCTTGGCTAGTTGTGTGGTGGAAGCTCTTAGATGGACATTCCTGTGCTGTTGCGACAGTCTGTCACGGTGTGTCTCTGAAGTGGCTGCACGCTTTGTCCCGGTGTTTTCTTATTGGCATCGAAGCAGCTTATCGCAGCGCTTCAGGCATCAGAAGTGTCAGCACTACTTTTCTTTGGTGCGGCAGGACTTGTTTCAGCTGCCCTCTCCGCTTTAAACATCGTCTACTCATCAGAGTAACTCTCCTGTGGCCTCTCCTTTTCGTGCTGGTCATGCTGGCTGATATGTCCATCACGTTCCTTGACCAACATGAATTTTTGCATGGCCCTTCTGGCTGGATTGAAGCCAGCTGAGCAAACCCTTTGCTCGGCAGAGAAGCCTAAATCAGCTCACGCACCTGCGCCGTACAGCCACTTCAGCGGCGCCGGGGGGAGGCGGAGCCGGAGGAGGAGGAGGACGAGGACGAGGAGGACTTAGAGGAGGAGGAGGAGGAGATGCGGCAGCTGATGCAGCAGCAGCAGCAGCAGCACGTGCGGCCGCTAAAGCCGAAGAAAACCGTTGACCGCATGGCTTTTGCGCTGCTGCCCTTTTTGCTGCCAGCGCTGTGCTGGGGTCCCGAGCCAGAAGGGACCAGTGATGGGTTGCCACGTCTCCCCAACGAACAGTAGGCTCGTCTTTCAGTGCCCCTGAAATGCTTAATGAATGGCTCACAATCGTCGACAGTGACGGCCTTGCCACCCTCAGAGATTGTGGCACAGTTCCCAGTATCAGTTCAGCGGTCGAACCTTCATGGTTTCAACGACTGCACTGTCAGTGGGAGCCGTTAATCGCCATTCCTGCTTTGGAATCGGCTCCGTGCTCGGCTTAAATTTCACCCCAATTTTCCTGGATGCGTTTCCATCTCACTCCCCAACTAATGGATCCCCTGCGCCGCCCGCTGCCGCACCTGCAGCAGCAACAATGGAGACGCCTGCTCCTGAAGCGTCAGCCATCACCCGTTGCCCTAAGACAATGAAAAGATTTCCTGCATACGATTTAATCCTATTGTTTCAGGTGCCTCGACACCCAAAATTCCAATCTTGGTTGCGCAGAACGAGGCAACGGTCGACTCAATGTGAGATGCCTGTGGTATGCCACTTTTGGGTAAGATAGTGACGATGCTTGCAAGCATTGCACCAATGGGGCTCAAACATTTCATGGAAAGGGCCTTGTGGTGTTCCAGAGTGCATATTTGGCTGCCATTAATTGTCAGAGTGGTGAAGGCGAAATCAGCTCCAGGTGTCCTTCTGCCTCGTTTGTGTTGTGTTATTCCACCCCACTGGTTTGTTGAACTGGTACATTCATAACACCTCCAGTGCCCAAGGAGCTATTCTGTAAACCACACTTTTCGTACCGTAAATCAAGGGTATTAAAGACTCGAAAGCTTATCTGCTTGCGCCGGAGTAGTTCCTGTGTAGAGCTTTCGTCTGTGCTGGTGCCATCGTCGTTGTGCCACACAGGAAGGCTGGAAAATGCCTAAAGGCATCTACATATCCTCTTACAAAAAATACACCTTCGTTAAACCTCGCTAGAGGACACGTGGAGGCTTCCCAGCTTCTAATTGTAGCATAGGCAACCTTCAGTAGAATAACGGTGAAGCGTATTTAGACCGAAACCTTTTCTCAGTTACTTTTACCAGTTCTTCCAATTTAAGTCTTTCCCCTGACGCACTGTGTTTGCTCTGGAAGACCGGCGTGAAGGAGTCGTGCCTGATGGATAGTGAACGGGACAAGTGCTAGTGTAGACGAGGGCTGGGCACACTTCACGGGAAACAGCATCGTGTCTTGTTGAAAAGTGCACAGAATATACTCTGCAAAAGGTGCATGAGTATACATACCAGCTTCCGCAGGGTTTTCTTAAGATCTCCGCTACAGCACTTTTGGCCACCCTCCGCTCACCATTTGTTCATTGCTCACGTCGTCTACTAAACCCACCATAATATGGTTATCCTGTGATCGTCTCTCTTTTATATGTGTAAGAGATTACTGGGGCTTCTGTTTAGCTGTACCTGTGACAGTCACTAACCCCATTTGTTACATTGGAAGAGACCAGCGTGTTAGTGTGGACATCGTCCACCCCGAGGGAGCACCACGGACTCCGCATTGAAGTGAAACAAAGTAAGTGGTTTTGGTACAATTTATATTACATGTATTGATGCTTTTAGCTCTTGCTTAGGAGCAACACTACGTTCCAGAGAACAGTGTAGGCTGCCGCCTGTAGGCTTCCTAATGGGCAAGAGGGCATGCAGGAACCTCATTAAGGGTGTTTCCTGTACTTAAGCGCTACATACGCTGCAATCGCAGCAGAAGCGCTGTATACATTAAAAGAGGGGGAAAAGGTCTTCCAGCCAGGTCGGGAGGAACTGGTAGCTTTTTGGGAGCACTACCGTGCCATTGCAGCGACCAGCGTGACTGCAAGTGTTGCACGAAAACGACTGTAACAAAGGTAACAGATGCTTCCCCGAGATATTAAGTTTGCCTTATGGCCGGCCTAAGCGGAGGTGTCTACGGAATAGGGCCTCCCACTGAGCGACCTGGCAGTGCAGACAGTGCGGTTCCCCTGTTCGACTGAACAGGAAGTAGGCGAACCTACTGCTCCTTTCTGTCGCCTTTCCGTGCGAAGGGGCAGCTGACGGTGTCAGGGAGCCGTCCTATCTGTGGCCATGGATGGGCACGGAGAGTTGGTGACCTTGGAGGAGGGATGGACAAAACTGCGTCTCCAGGGGATTGAAAAGGTTCAGCGGTTTTTGGAGCAGAGGCCTGAACGAGGCCATGCGAGCAAACGAGTATGTGTCGTGTCAAACGAAGACTATGCAGCCATATACACGTAAGGTTGCGCTGCACCTGCCGTGCACCCATAACGTAGCGATTCAAAAGTAAAGTCCTTTCTATAAAGAACCATCCATCCCCCCAGGACGATACACTTCAATCCGAAATCAAATGTGACACATCTGGCGATCACTTCTGCCTGCAGGATGGTCTACACGATGTGTACACAGCGGTCACCGTACAATTTCTCGCAGGACCTCTATCAACTTTACGGAGATTCAATTGTTCGCTATGTGCACTCCACGGTAAGATCTCACATTCCCTTTCTATGTAGATTACATAGAGGCCTTTAAGAGCGTACACATGCCTTCCTCCAGTATTGTCCCTCCAGTCTTACCAGTCGTCGCAGTGGATGTTGCTCTTATGATTAATTCCCCACAGTTGTGGAAACGTGAAGATGTCTAGATACTACGAACATAGAACGTAGTACATTGTTCGCTTACACCTGATCAGGTCCTGCCGTCCCTGGAGAATCGGAGAGGCTCAGATCTGCTGGAGGAGCTGCTGTGTCGGTGGGAGAACCACCGTACCTTGGTAAAGTGGCTTCAAAAATTCTTTGCATATCTAGATCGCTACTATGTCAAGATGTACATGGAGGCTCCCCTGGTCAAGAGGGGCATTGCGATTTTCAAAGATCATGTAAGGCTGCCCGAAGCACACAAACTGTTTTGCTTACCCCCCTTGCGGGGATACTATTTCTTGCTGTACTTACTCTGGAGAGTTGCGCGGGGCACGTGCAGGTCTTTGAAAGGGTCAAGCAACCTGTTTCCGCCGCCATCGAAGATGCGATTCGTCGACAGCGTGAAGGTGAGCACCGGATTAGCCTAGTGTTGCACATGCTGTAGGCCGCGATGACCTTGCCAGGATGCCGGCACCACAAGACACTCTGCTGTATTTTTTTGCGCCCATTGAGAGACAGGCAACAGCATAATTACCAGGTGGCATTCCATTTATGTTGTAGGGGAGTCGCTGGATGAGGAGAGTGTGGCGCAGCTAGTGTGTATGTATATTGGCCTTGACCCTGAAGATGAAGGGCTGGGCCTCTACCAGCGTGAGCTAGAGGACCTGCTTCTAGCTTCCACTAAACAGTTCTATGACCGCAAAGCCAGAGAGTGGATTGCAAGTAGCACCTTCTCCGAATACCTGCTACTTGCGGAGGTAAGAACGGGCTTTACGTACACAGGGGAAAATTTCATCTGGCTTTGCTCCACCACATGCTCCCTGGTCGCCAGTTTGTGGGGCATCTAGCGTGGCGATTTATATTTTAATCGAGATTTGTGTTTGCCCCATGCTATCATTTGCATGTGTGATTACTGACTTGCAGGCGGCGCTTGAGGCTGAAGCGCGCAGATGTGAGAGGTACTTGCACAGCAGCAGTAGCAGTAAGCTGCTGGGAGTCGTTGTCAAAAGCACTCTACAGCAACATCAACAGGAACTACTAGAGAAAGATACGGCGATTCCCTTCCTTCTGGCTGGGGAGGGACGAGCGGAGTTACGGATGGCCCACAGATTATTTGCCTTAGTGGATGGAGCGGTTGAAGACCTAGCGAAGCAGTTCAAGGTGTACATTTCGGCCTGTGGAGACAAGGTTTGTACTGAAAAACACTTAGAAACAACTAGCAGGGGCCAAATGCTGCCGTAGCACGCCTGGAAACTCATGCGTTAAAGTGGCATATAGTTCCTCTTTCGAATAACTGCTCTGTGTCTTGTTTAGCTAGTGCAGCAGCGAGTTGCCGCGATGAAAGAGACACAACAGATGAGGGCGCAGGGTTCGGCCAGCAGCAGCAGCAACGCTGCATTGACACAGCAACAACAGAGGCAACAGGATATCATCGCTGAGCACCGATTTGTGGAGAGCGTGTTGGATTTGCACGACCGATTCAAAAGTATCACACTGGATTGCTTTCGAGCTCAGCAGCGTATTGCGCATGATGCTTTGGGCTCTTCAGCACGACCTACGCCTCAGGCTGACTCGCTATTCCAGAAGGCACTAAAAGAAGGTTCGTAAGATGTGCCGGCAAATTACATGCTTGGAAGTGGGGAAGGCCGGCTAAAGTAAGAAGCCGAAAAAAGGGGTATTTTTCGTTGAGCCTGAGCTCGTCAGTTTACCTGAACTGTGTACTCTCACATGCTTCAGCGTTTGAAAGCTTCGTCAACGCGCAATCTCTACAGCCCCCTTTTGCACAACTGCTGGCGTCGTTTTGTGACCGCATTTTGAGGAAGGCTGGGGGTAAGCTAGTATTTGGACGGAAAGAGCTGTTTCTCCAGATGTATCTTTCTGCAAGATATGTGCTCAGACCCATATTTAGTAGTGAGAAGTGTCCTGTGCTACTTGTGTGTCCACAATTTTCGAAGCCTTGAGGAACACTTTTGAACCAGTGCTGCCATTTCTCTACTTAGACTGCAGATATAGCCCCTGCTCTCTGTTTCCTCATTAGCTAGGATCACGCGCTTGCCACAAGACTGCTTTGTTGCGCAAGGCGAGAGAATGGGTGACGATGAAATCGAAGAGTGCCTCATGAAAGTTGTTGAAATTTTCAACTACGTAACGGACAAAGACCTTTTTGCTGAGCAATACAGGTGCAAAACTGAATATTAACCAGCTGAGGGTAGCCTGCCGATAGCACATCATCAACTGTCGTCAGCTTTTGCCTACACATCAGTTTCCTGTGCTCTCAGCGTCGAAGGCATGCGATGCCAGTATAATGCATATATATATTCCCTTTTTGTGTTCCCAGAACGCAGTTGGGTCGTCGGCTGTTGCATGAGACCTCTGCATCACTCGAGCTCGAGCGGTTGCTAATAGCGAAGCTGCGTCTTAAATGTGGTGCCCATTTCACTGCGAAAGTGGAGGGGATGGTGAACGATCTCCAAGTAGCTGCTGGTCTTATGCGATCTTTCCAGCAGCAGCAGCAAGAAGAACAGCTGAAGAGAAAGACGGATGAGCAGGAGTCGAAAGTAAATGAGAGTGCATCCAGGATCAAAGAATCCGTCTCATCGGCCACAGTGGAAACTGTGATGATAGGTGATGTAGAATTTTCGGTGCAGGCCCTAAGCACTGCGCATTGGCCAACATATCCAGGCAAGTGAGGACGGCCCTTGACAGATAGCTTGAATTCCTTAAGAGTCCGCATATTTACGAGGCACCGATGCCGAGCCAACGCTTGTGTCTATGGCGCCCCACTACCTAAACCAGACGCTGGTTTTCAATCTTGTGCAACCAGCGATGTTTTAGCTGTGACGGAGTTCGGTTTGCTGCAGCGCCTGACTTGCGCTTGCCGCCTCAATTGGCCCAATGCGTCAACGCCTTTGAACAATTCTACACCTCGCAAACACAACACAGGAAGCTCACATGGGTCAACTCACTGGGTATGTGCTGCAAAAGTAATCACTTTCTCCAGCTCCTTTGAGACACTGGGGTTTCGTAACCGCGGAAAGACAATCTGCGGCGACAATCGGTTAAGCTGGCCATGCTTCTTCATTGCCGTCCTTTCTTCAGGAACTGCGCTTGTGGCTGCACAACTCCAAAATCGCCAAGACCTCATATGCAACACGATGCAGGCAGCTCTACTTCTAAGGTTCAACAGAAAACAAGACGACGGCTGTGGTCGCACCATATGCTGCGCCGGCGATCCTGCTTTGTCGGTACAGCAGCTTGTGGAAGAGCTACGCCTTGACGAGTTGACAGTGAAGAAGCTGCTGGGGTCACTTATGCTTGGCCGTTTTAAGATACTCAAGAAAGTCAGCAATGCACTGCTTGCAGGAAAATAGATGATGCTACCAACGGCTTCGCCAACATGCGCTTGCAAGGAATGTTTTAGAGTATTGGTTGCTGCGCCACCGTGACGGGTTGTCGTAGCAGGAGCCCTGACATGCTTCACATACACCCGGACCATCAAACTTTCCACACAAAAGCACAGACGTTCCATTGTGCTACTCCTTTGCGCATCTTGCAGACTGAGAGCGATCTCTTCCAGGTTAATGAAAGCTTTTCATGCCTCCACCGGAAGATCAAGTTACCTACTCCTGTGCAAGAGGAAGCACAGTGCCGGGGTATTCTGGCTCTGTCATCCGCTGATTGTGCCCTGCAATTTTATGGGCATCTAAAGGCAGCATTAGCAACATGAGCAAATTATGACAAGTGTCTGCAAGTGTCTCATAATCTGTGGAGCTCGTAGCGACTCATGTAAGGGAGTTTGTGATTTTTGTTAACTGAATTTGATGCAGCACGTGTTGAGGAGGACAGGTCCATCACTGTTGATGCGGCCATCGTGCGCATTATGAAGACACGCAAGGTCAGGCAGAATCCTATCGACCACATTTGTTGTAGCCTGAAAAGCTCGCTGGCGGCTATATGCACAAGATGGACTTCTAGCAATATTTTTGTTGCTTTCTGTATTTTGTAAAACAGAGCCTGTCGCACCAGCAGCTAGTAGGCGAGGTTATGGCCCAGCTGCACTTCTTCCAGCCGCCTCCTAAGCTACTGAAGGAAAGAATACAGGACCTGATCGCCAGAGAGTTCTTGGAGCGGGACAAAGACAAGCCAACCCAATACAATTACGTTGCATGATTTGTTCCCCATATGACCGTTTCAACCGCGCTCGTTGCAGTTTCGGAGTAGCTGACATGCCTGTTCACCTCTTTTGATGCATGTGAACAAACCGAAATGGTGTGGCATTAACGTTTCTAGACGGGCACATAAGGGAGGGGCTCACATCCAGGACATGCAGTAGGCTTGACGTCGAAGTGATTTGAGCCTTGTGCGCCAGTTGGCGACACCCCGCAGCGTTCTCTAGTACATGCATGAAGCAGGGCATTGGCTTATCAAACCGTTCGAGCCCTCCGGGATAGTCTTGAAATCAAAACTTCCACAAATGGGAGCTACTGTTTCAAACTGCGAAGTGTGGAGAGCCTTACAGCGTCCTGGTGACCATTTTCGCACTCCAGCTTGCTGTTGCCTCCCTATTTATTGCCCGCTAAAGGAGCACTGCACGATTAGCTCGACGATGGGTGATCAGAATGTTGGGATACATGCATTGCGGCATACTAGTGCCTCAGACGGCCAGCGCTGATTGCACTTATCGTGTCGTTCCATACCTTTCAGCAGCTTGCTTCTCATCTTCAACTTTTATCTCTAGAAGCCGTAGTTCCTGAAGTTGAAGTTGCAGCTCTTCCTCTTTGTCTTGCAGCGCTTGCTCGAGGAACTTAATATAGCCTAAGAGCCGCTGTTGCCCATTGATAACGTGCGACGTGTAAACTGATAGTTCATGCTGCAAGTGACCTTCTTGCTGGGCTACTTCATGAGCAAGCGCCCACAGCTCCACGTAGGCATCGTTTTCTAGCTGCTGTAGTAGAGATACAACATCGCCGCTGCCAAGCTGGAACTGAATCGCCAACTTACGGAAACGATCCACAAAGAGAGCCGCTTCTTGGTTGGCAAAGGATCGCACTTCGTCCGGCAGAGCGGCATACTGGTCGTCAGACAACGCACTGGTGATGACGTCTGGGGGCAGGTCGACCACTTTGAGTGGCATTTCCCTTCGTCTCCGCTCGATTGCTTCAATCATCTGTAGCACTTCGAAGTCAGCCTTCTGGTCTGATGCTGTTTTCTTCCCAAATGCTGTTGCCTCATCCTCCTGCTGTTGCAGGTGCTCCAGCTCCAGTTCCTTTTGTTGAGCCTGTATCTCTTCTTGTGAAGGCTGAAAGTTGCAAGAAAGCTCCTGCAGGAAGAGCTGTAAAGATTTCAAGAGTGGGCGTTGTTCAATCTTCCCAAGTCTTTCCATTGCTTGAATTTCTGCTGAGCGGTGCGCCAAAGAGCGGAGCAGCACGCACAGAGAGAAGCTAAAGCAAATGATTCCCATGAAAAAGAGGTAAGGGAAAACGAAGACCCCGGCCATAAAGGCGTCTGACTGGAAGAGCTGCGATAAGGGGAAGAAGCCTGTCGTCAGCATGATCGTGGAGACAAATGAGTTCTTCAGTGTTGAGTAGTTCTCCAGGTAACGGCCAAAGGACAGGAAGCACAAATACGCGAAGCCCATGAAAATTAGTACCGTACCTATCAGGACCTGTATCATCTCTTCTGCTGCCGAAGCAACAGCAAAAAACATCATGGTCATGCGCTTACGTTTGCGCCCAAGTCGGAGTAAACGAAGAAAGGCAGCGGCCAAAATAGCCGCCGCTAATTGAGCGTAGACGCGGAGCAAGGCAGACGTTGAACTGAAGGCCCTGAAGAAAACCCCAGCTGCCGCGGTTGCCTCCGCTTCCTCTGTGGCCCCGGAAGCGGCGGCAACTAAAGCTGTGGAGAGATCATCTGCTAAATTAAGTACTTCTGCGTGAGGTGAAGCACACACATGAAGTACCCACACAAAAATTGCACAAGCCAGTACAATGAAGCCAATGATGTCGAAAGCATTGAAAAGGTCGTCGATAAAAAAAACTCCTAAACATAAGCCAAAGCTGTAGTCTTCACGCTCCTCCTTCAGTCTTCCCCTCAGCCGGCAAAACTCCACAAAAAATGAGCATCCGAAAAACAAGAAAAGCGCTGCGCTTGCCACTTGCAGAGCCACGGCAGCTACGGTTGTAAAATCCCATGTAGAGTACGGCTGCAACTGAGGCGCCACAGACAAACTGTGTTGGAGATTTTGTTGTATTTAGCGGGATAATTCCGTTTTGGATACTGAATTATTTAGCGAAGGATTTGGCATATCCGTATCTTTGGTATTACACGGGTACTCACAGTGAAAGTTTCAGCAGAGAATTTCGGTGTAACGTTGCCTCCTCGATTCCTTGGAAACTGTATATGCGCCTCCAGCACGGTGTCACGCTGGTTGCTATTTATCAAGACAACATGGACTGTAAGTTCCGCAACAACGTCTCTCAAGATGTTCTCCTGTGCCAGTCGCCTCAAAAAATCTTGGAAGGCAGTGGTTTCAAACAGCGGCTGGTATTCGCACTGCAGCGACTCACAGGAGAAGCCTAGCTGAGTTGGGAAGGACGCCTCCTCGCGGAGAACTAATGTTAGGCGAACGGAGCGTGTAGTCACGGCGCTGTTCCAGTTGTATAGCACAAGCTGCTGATACGCGTTGCCTACCCACAAGGTCGCAATAGAAACAGTTAAGGAAGGTGAACTTCGATGAAACAATGTCCTCCAAACAGAAACAGGCAGACGGGATCCACATGAATTACACAGCAGTTAAGGTAGTACTGGAATGCCCTACCGTTTTGTTGCCTTAGCTGTGGAAATGCCTCGCCAAACAATGCAGATTTGGTGGAGGACGTCAAAAATGCCATCAGTCCCTCGTCGGCTACTAGCCAACTGTAAAGGTCTCTCGGTGTGCTTATACTGAATAGAGGCTGCGTGGGAAGACTTATCGTAACATCCACATTGGGCAAGCCTGCGGAGCAGAATACGTGCTTCATGTGCAACAAAAAATTGCCATGCGCGCAGGCTGTGCTCAGGTGAAACACGTTGCAATTTTTTAAGTCTTTTATGAACGCCCCAAGCTTTGCACCAGCTGGGCAGATAAGCATATTAAAGAGTAAAACTTAATCAATGCGCTTTAGTCTTTTCTTACCAAGGGAAGAATCTGGGCAGCCAAAGGTAACAGGATCCAAGGTGAACGCCGTGCTCGAAGCAGCTTGGCGAGCCATTTCCCGCATATCGGCTGCTGTGTCTACCGAGAGCTGCGAAAAGAACAAATCGTTGAGGCAGGGGAGACATCTGCTATATACTTTGAACGCTATTTTTTGGGATCAGGAAGCGAAAGAGAGGTTGAAAGTCTGAGAAGCTATGTTGCCCCTTAACAAGTACTTATTGTCACGGCACGAATAGTCGCCCACTTGTAGGGTAATCGTTGCTATGACGACTACAAGAAAGACGACTACAAAAAGCTTTTTCCAAGCATCCTGGTGGTCCTTTTGCATTTGATGTCTCACCAGCAGGTAAACCTACAAACACAGTGACCAAAGAAGTTCCGTTGGATATACGATGAGATTTGGCTAAATTTTTATAAAAATCCTGTATCAACCACTTGTCGCAGCTGTTTCAGTCATGCACTGACACGTCGCTGCAAGTATGATTCTTTGTTCTAGTGCGCTATTGAAACTATTGCTGAGTGACCCTAAGAAGCCAATGAGTACTTTGGCGATGGAGGGTGCTGGTGCCTTCTGCGCTGTATTGACTGCAAGCTTAGGCGTGAAATAACCTTCCCCTGAGGTTGTATAGTCGACCACGTCAAATCCATTAAAGTACCCGTATGTCTTTGAATACTCCGCTGCGATGAAATAGTACACTTCGCAAAAGGGCAAGTAAGTCTCGCTTGCGCACAAACGCAAGGTGTGTTTGGTATGAGTTTAGAAGGCTTCCTTCCCTACCTCACGTGCGAAGTCGCGGTCTTACCCATGCTTGCTGCATCCACATAGAAAGCATTATCTGTACCGGAGTTTGTTGCATAGATGCTCAGCGGATCTTTCATCCCGATTTCATTCCAAACCCATGAAGGGTATTGGGGAGGTGATTCGTAGAATTCCTCTGCAGAAGAGCGGGTCTCCTCTTTAGTAGCACGCCTGCAATAATGTTCGTCACTCGTTGTTCGCTTTTGCTGTCCCTTCTTTCTCTCTTCTGAAGCTTTCAATTCTTGAGCTTCTCTGATGTCATCTTCGAACTCGTCCTCGGCAAGTATCTCCAGCTTTTCTTTCGATCGGCATCTGCAGACTTCCTTCCAAAAACCCATCCACATCTTCTTCAGCGCATATCTGAACCATTCATACCGTGTTCGGAAAAGGCCCTGAAAAGCGCGCAACAGGAACCTTGTTAGTGTGCCAAGCGCTTACTTGGTGCAATGCAGTATCTGCCAGTTAGTGTTTGGTACAACAACCTTGACAGTAACCGAGGGAGCGGCTGCAGGCTAAAATGAAGTAAAATATTTTCCCTTCATTTTTATCTAAAGAAAGTCATAATTAGATAAAGTGCAGGACTGCGTTGCCCACAGTCATTTAATAAGCAAGTTATGGGTCGGTCTGATACTTGTTTGTTGAGCTTGTACTTCGTGACGTTTTGTTCAGTGTTCTGTGCGCAGCAGTTGTACTTCGTCAGGACCATTGCAACAAGAAATGTAAAGCCGAAAACCGAGAAGAGAAGGAAAAGAGGCACAAAATATAGCCCAGAAAAGACAGAATTGATTGAAGTCAGAGAGTAGACATCGTAGTTTCCAATTGTTCCGCCGAGCAGGAATGCCGCTGATGTTTTCAAGCTGCATTAAAACGGGCAAGCATAGTATAGCCTGATTTCAGTCATACACACTGGTCTCTGCAATCGCTACATTTTCAGTTGGAGCATCATCTACGCAGACGTGTGTAAATTGATCAAGTTTAGCGAGTAATGGGCACGCAAAAAGTAATGGCAACGAGGCGCAGACGAGAATGGGCCAAGAACCTACCTCTCGTAGTATCCGGCAAAGCTGCTCGTTGTATCCCCGAAGGAAATGTCTCCAAAAGAGACGAAAATAAGAACTATAATAAGCAACCCTAGGCTGCAAGCCAGTATGTAGAATTTCGTCTTGCGGAACGTCATTTGTAGAGATTTTATCCCTATCCCTGTAGTGGAAGGGGCCAATCTAGTTATTAGTATGCATCCTGTTACTGCTGCCAGAGCACCTAAAAAAATGCATGCCTGCTGCGCTGCAAAGTTGGCGCGAAACAGGGAGTGGTAGTCATTGATCAGCTGGAAAAACCCTGTGTCGTCGGACGCAGTGGGTGTCCCAGATATCTCGTAATACCCATCATCTGCTGCCGTGAGCTCGAGCTTGGGTGCAAGCAACGCGACGATTTGAACAGCGACAAAAGAGGCAAGAAAGCAAAGAAGCACGCACAAATGCAGTAAGAGGAACATTGTCCAGCCTTCTTTGAGCCAAGACTTCAAGCCTAACTTCTTCAGCTCCTCGCATTCGCACAGCAGGTAAAGAGTCAAGAATATTAGAAGCAAGCCAAGTGCAACGTAACGCATCAGACAGTCAGACTGTGCAGAGAACGCCGCGAGAGACGAAACCCACACCAATGGCGCCTGGACCGACCCTGCGTGCAAAAGGGGACAAACCCATGTTGTATGGAGTGAAACAGGATTTGGTTGTTTTGCTGTTTGATTTAGCAGCCAGCAGTGCACCATACCTGAACTGGTAAAAGAAAAGAGGACTGCACAATACGAAAATGTCTCCGTGACCGGGTTTATGGAAAAGAAATCGACTACAGTTGATATTGTTCGGCGATCCGCTATTACTGGCAGCGGAACAAACCATGGAGCGTAGCGAGAAGGGGCTTGCTTCTGCTGTAGAGCTGTTTGAGCGGCTTGCACTGAGTCTGCGCCCAATCAGACCGCAACAGATGTGACTTACTGCTTCAAAGATTAAGCAAAGCTTCCTATGAAGGCTTTATGTCAGCCGGGATCACTTGGTTTCCTTCGAAAAGTGCCAGTGTTTTTTGGAACACGACCCACCTTCACATATGACCTGATAGTATCCTCCCCCTTGGTTATATGCTTTGTCGTCTCCGGAGGGAGCAAACTGGTAAGAGTATGTAAATCGTGAGCTTGATGGATTTGTGAGAGGGTTTTCTGACCGCAGCTTTGCTGCTGCAATTGAGGCAGAGGCACCAGCCCAACTTAATGGCCAAACACCCTCATACCCCAAGTCATACCCTTCAACTTCTTCCAGCTGGACCTATGCAATAATTAAGGGACAAAAAGAATGCCAGTAGCTTCCGTAAACGTGGACTGCTGCGACGTCAGTCTGAGGGAAGTCATAGTGATTGCCGGCGCGGAAGCCACGGCAGGCTTTCTACACTTGGAACTGCCGAGGAATCACGCCAAATTCAAGTCTCTCAGTTTTCCAAACACATTTTACCTGTTACTGTCTACATACTTGTCGAAATGTGAGCCTAAAGCAGTTCCCAACTACTCTTGCTGTGCCCAAGTTGCTTGTCCCTGACGTTGCTCCATAAAGAAGGGGAATAAATCCATAGAGGAGCCAAGAGGCCACGTCAGATTTGCTGCTGATCGTGAAGACATTTTTTGGGCGTCCTGAATCAGGAGTAACGGATACTGACGCGGGTGTCGGAGTTATCTGTGCTGCTTTTGCAGCCTCGTAGCTGACCCAGTTAAAATTAGATAATGACGGTGCCAGGGCAGACTTTATCGGTGATGCCACTCCATCTGCCGCTTCAAATGTCCTGGTAATTTCCAACGAAAAAGCGATGAAAATCAGGAGAAGTGCAAGATAAAACACCGAAATGACAAACTGGCCAAGTGGTTGCCTCTGCATAAGTAGTTGTTGCACTTCCTCAACGTTTTTGGCGGACTCCTCGAATCGTATAGGAAAGATTCTTCGCCTAAACATCTCTCTTCTCATAAGTGGTGCCTGTCCCTTGAGTACATTGCCAAGGCCGATGGCGTTGGGTTCTTTGACTAGAAGATTCCTTTCCTCATGTCTACGCTTTTTTCTATGGGCTTCATCAGTTATTGGTGCTTTGTCTTGTGCATATGTTGTTGTTGGAAGTTCATATTGTTTGTATTCGCCAATCGTGGCTGCAGCAGGTGCACTGGCTTCTCCGCCTCGTAGCGGCCACATCCTCTATCTTTTTCCCTTGAAAGGTTACACACTTCGCGCATAATCGAGTGAGAACTGCACCTAGCATAGCATAGGGTATCGGAGCATATACGTACAAATTCTTGTGTGGGGCCATTGAAATATTAGCTTTGGAGAGGGAGGAGAAAGTGTGTGTCATCGAATCAGTCGGCAGCGCCGATACAACGGGCTCGTTTAACCCCTTGAAGTCCCTAGACAGAGAAAAAGCAATTTCTTCAAGAATTTCACAAAAATTTGGTGAGAGATGAGAAGGTGCATATTGTAGAAGGTTTTTTTGGAACAGTGCTCTGGAAGCTGGGCAACGGAAGTTGCCTGTCTCCATTGGTGTGAAGCATGGCGCTTATTGTGGAGTCTCTCAGCCTGCGCTCATGAGCATTCGTTCCTTTGAAGCCTCACGTTCTGAAAATTCCCCTAGAGGCTAATTAATATTCACGTTATGACTCTACATTTAACTACCTTCATTCCCGTACCAACTGTTGAACAGCTCCTCCGGGACTCCCGTTGCGCAGTGATGGAACCAGCTGCACCCGAAAATACGCGCTTGTAGATAGGTTCCACAACTTCCGAAATCCCTAACATCCGCATGCCTTTGCACTGCTATTTCTGTTGTTTGTAGGTAAGGACTTCTTGCACTTCTCAAGTAGCTGTGTGCAGCTTCCCAAACAGTCTGCCTGCAGAACCCGACTGTCCACGCTGTATGTAGTAGCCTTTGCTTTAACTGAAAACCGTAGAATGTCTTTAAGTTCCCAGAAGAGCACTGAATTCTTAGACACAAACGGGACGCATTGTCGAGGACAAGAACTAGCATTGCAGGCCGCGCATTTAATTTGTAATTGGCGGGCTCAGATGCAGTATATAGACACTCCGTTGTCTCGAAGACATCGCATCAAATTGGAGCAACAGAATTCCGAAATATTAGTATGCTCCCTACGCAAAGAAGAACTGAGGGGAAAGCGGAACGTCCTCAAATGTGCCCTGCCAAGAAGACTTGTAAGCATTCGTGGTATGTAATTCGATCATTCCGGTAGAAGCTCGGCTAGATTCAGTAGACCCTATGCTGTGCAGTGGCGATCCTACTTTGGAGCTACGGGTAAGTTTGCGACTAAGTGAAAAGCCCCCTTTCTCCTGTGAAAGCTGAGAACACCTGAACAATTCATATTGTTTGTATTCGCCAATCGTGGCGGCAGTGATTCTGTCGCTGAGACAGCCTTGCCCCCTACATGCAGACCGTCCATTTATATGACAGCGCGCTCTGCAGTACTATGTACTGACTCTCAACAAGTGGCAACGACACCTCGAAAGGGCTTCTGTGGACAAGGGCGATCACATGTACTCGTCACTTTCTTTAAAACTATTGCCATGCGGTTCAATACTCACTACTTTAAAAGTTTTGGAGGACTTTGTGTGGTACGAATGGCTGTGAAATTCCGCGGTGGCCCGTAGTGGCCCGTGGAGTCTGGGTCCAAACCATTGCGCTGTGCAGTGCAGTTGCGCAAGAAACTGTTCTTAGAAAACGACCTAAGGCGAAAACTAATACGCTCAAGATAGAATTTACCTACTGAGCTTACTACGGAGCTCTGCACGTGGACAGATTTTATGCTCTCTGTTGCACGTCACGTCCTTGAAAATAAAAATTCGCCGGGGAAGTAAAAAATCCACCAGACTCTGAAGGAAGTGACCTCATCAAACTCATCGCGCTGAAGCCGCCAGAAACGGTACTCTGCTGCGGCGTGAACCTTGCATCCCTGTCTTATGTAGCGTGCCAAGATTGGTGGACTACTTTTTGCGCATTCATGCATCCCATCTCCTCTTACAAATGCCGGTGCACTCATTGCCCTGTTCTTTGAGCAGACCAGCTGCTTTAGCCAGGGCGAATGGGATCATCAAATTCATATCGTCCCAGCTGACAAGCACAGCTAGGACAGACGGCAGACACTCGACGAGGCATAAAGCCTGCGCACCAACGCACGCCTCATGAGTTAACATACTTGCTCTGCATCTCATGGCATTGAGAGCAAACTGCTCTCACTGCCATGAGATGCAGGCATCCACTAAAAGGCTCTTATCGTCGCCATGACAACACGGCCACTCACCCGGGAATCAGTCGCTTCGGGCATCGCGTCTATATTGATGTAAGACTAAGTTGCACACAGAGTCCAGAAAGGCAAAACGGGCCGGCATATGATGAAAGCTTTTTCTGTTTCAAGCGCCATCAGATAGTTCCTCGTCGGCGTGGTACTGAGGCAACTGCTCGAGGAAGCTGCTCAAGTCAGGGCACGGATTCCTAGATATTTGTCTGTTGCTGTTCTCAACGCTCACCATGTGTCCGCCGAAGTGCACAAATGAGTACAAACGTGATTTGCAAACGAGCCTGACATATACCATTGTGTGCAAGCTGAGGGCGAGAACCCCCTCAGCTTAGGGTGCCAACAAACAACCCTCCCCGTCACCGCGCTTAGGGAGCAGCGCATCATGTAGCAGGGCGTCAAGGGTGGCTTTCGTCTTCGGGTGCACAGCTCACCACTTAGAAAATGCTGCATGCTAATGGTTTCAAGAACTTTCCAGCTGACGGAATAGAAGAAGAAACAAAGCGATTTCTCTTGGTGACGTGTGTGAGACGCAGGCCGTAAGACTACGGTTCGTCACCGAGCGTCCTCTCCGTTTGAGGAAAGCGAGGCGACAAGTGCATGTCCAAGAGGCTATTTAGTTGGAGACCTAAGGAAAGAGAAATGCAGGTGCTGTGAGGCCGAGGCGTGCTGAGGAGCTATGAAGTGCCAGTGGTCCAGGGTATTCCTGCAGGCTGCCGCAGCTTCTTGCAGGCTGCCGCAATCTGAATTGCGAAAAAGCCTTCTCTTGTAATTCATTCAATGCGTGTATTGTTTGACCAAGCTTATGATGACCAATGTGCGACTTGGGAAGTAGCAGATGCAAGCTTTACGTGTGGCGAGTGCCAGCGCTGGGCATCCGTAGTGAGGCTCGGGATACCATTACTCCCTGTGGGTTGTGTTGCAGCCTTCATCTGCATGTTATGTGTTTATAAGCTACTGGTTGCAGCTCATGCCCTATAGGTATGAGGCCACTCTAGTTCGCGAGGAGGCCACAGCCTGTCCGGGCCTCGCAGTCCCTCCGGGCTGACATCCCGTCATGAGTGAAATGTGGCTTTAAAATGTGTAATAGTATTTGCAGAATTGAATTGGTTTTCTTTAGAAAGGATTCAGAATGCAGAAATTTAGTACGGTTTGCTCCCTCGGCAGCCAGCTCTTCGATACACTGAATATCGTCGATCCGTCAAAAGTCCCCAGGATTTCGGTACTCCATAAACTGATATATTTGTCGTGGTCTTCTGTACTGTCGCCTTCTCGTGTGGTCCAAAGAATATTGTGCATAAAGACGGAAGTAAAACTTCGCTTTCATTGAACTGGAGCCGCTACTGTATGTACATGGAGAATTCAGTGGCAGTGAATAGGAGTGACCGGCAGTTCACCGTTCATATGGCATCTAGCTACCAAAAGACAAGAAGTATCAATTTATTTCACCAAAAGTGTAGCCCATTTCGAAGGTGAGGTGAGCCTCAAGCGCCTGTCAACAAGCCCTGCAATGAATCGGTCCGCTTGAATGATAGGTGAGCTTGCCAGGGACCCATTCAACGCCTTATCACACCATGTATACAGCTTACAAGAGCTTTTGCAGACCACTATTCGTTTCATAGTGCGGCAAGGCCCTCCATCGATGAGGTTAACTCACGGTTGGTCCTTCATTCGCTGGCGCACATTAACAAAGCTTCCGCAGCATCTCTGCACTTGCCAAACTGACAGCGCCGACAGAAGTCCTAAGCACGTGAAGTGTAGAGGGTTTTGCCCCTTACCTCATCAGTCTAGCAAGGTGCCCTTTCGGCTCAACAGGCATCGTCCATTTCGCCAGGTTGTGCGCTGCTGCAACTGTGGCAGTACCAACCGCTACTGTGCGGGGGATCTCGCCTACGCTGCCACCCGATAGCCCCCCTACTAGGCGTGCAGCTCATAGAGCTTCTGCCAGCTGTTCTACCACGGGTGTTTCTCCAACGAGGCCTCCAAAAGCAATCCATTGGGCCAAACCGCGAGAGTATGTGTTTGTTCTTCAGTGCATTGTTCTTCAGTGTACCGCCTGGAGATTCTCATCCTACGTTGAGCGCCAGCATGTTGGCAACAGCGCCTTGCATGTCACGGGTCGCCAACATGCACACCAGTTGTCTTTCGTGCCATTTGTAGCAATATTCTTACTGCGCGGGTCTGTGACTTCATGGGTCAAAAAGGGTGATAATACATACCTTCAGCTATTTAAATGACGCATTTTTCCAAAACAAGCTCGCGTAGCCCAGCGCCAGTGCCTACGGCAGGGCGACCCATGCTTTCACCATAATGGAGCTAGCGCGTTGTCCCCATCGTTGATACATGGGTAGATTTGTCCATCACCATAGTGCTCTGATCTGGCTCGGCTGTTAAAATGTTTCGCAGTCTTCAGCCAAATGCACCATTCAATGCACAAGCGTGCAGCGTCTCTCGGTAATAAATACAACTGCGCCCTGGCTTAGTTGGGATATCTCAAAGAATCACGTGGTTGGCGTCCTCTGTAAAAGCAGCATCTCGGCGAACTTTCATTCGATGCTTTCCCAGTCTAAGTGAACTCTAACTGGTTTTGGTGAACTGTTACAAATCCACTACCTAGGTGCATGGAGTGCTTTTACATATCTTCTCACACATGCGCACAACATAAACACCGACTTCACAACACAGTATTCCGAAATATACACAGCAGCATAACCTTAAAGCTGTTAATAAGTTCCACCGCGGACAGTGACTTCTAGTACATTATTCAATTGCCGCCAGCCATCCCCAAAAAGCCCGCCAGCCATCCCCAAAATGCCCGCCAGCCATCCCCAAAAAGCCTCGAATTCATCAGCTGAATCAACACTGAAAGTCTAGCCGTGCTGAAGTTGCGAACACGGCCAACAAGTGGAAAAAATTCGAGTACAAAGAGTAGACATGAATGCGCACAAAGATAATCTGGCCTAGCGTTTTCGCATGCCCTGCCAAGCCTGAGGGCCTTTGGGTCCCCCACTGGTGCTGCGCTAATTTGCTAATTCTCCTTGAGTCTGCTTCTTAGATTTAGTGGACGCTTATCAGTTCAAACTAATAGCTGGAAATGAGAAATAAGCCTCCTGCATTCTAGGTTCTTGGAGGTGAGATTTGAGAAATGTGAAAGCCTCTGCTTCCGTTCCATTCGTGATGTCTGTGTACCTTGCGCTCAGAACCGGAGCTTTCATCCAATTCCCCAACGCAATATTGCCCGTTTCATGCGATACATAAACCCAGTAGTTACCTCTATGTGTAGTGCTAGAAGTTCATACGTGATTTTTGTATGAGCCTCACATTGGTACCATTACGGTCAGACTACACGTAACACTTTGTACACACCTCTTTCAGAGACACACGCTTAGTACTTCTTGCTCAAGAGCGTCAAGCCTCCAACGCCCTCGAGTATGAAGCTGGTAGAACTTTGAGAAGCCAAGTGCGGGACTTGTGCAAATGGTCGTGATTTCAGATAGTTTGATTACAAAAGGGAAACAGAAATGCAGGAAGAAACTGAACAGGAGGTACACACCAGCATGAGAAAAAGATTCTTGTTCGTCTCATGTTAAAGTGGTACCAAAACAAAGCTGAGTCGTTTCCTCGTCACAATCGGTGCCGGGGGCATCTGCTGACATGTGTGGCGAAAGCAGTAGCTTCGAGTACAGGAACTTGAGAGAGGCGTGCAAGGACAACTTTGTGTGAAGGAGTGGGCTCTTCTGTGAAATGAAGCTTGTATCTCTGGTTTTATCAGATGGCCCTTGGTAGCTTCAACGGACTGATGCTAAATTTCATTTTCCTTGATAACTGCTTCGCTGCTTAGCTAGTTCCTTTTTCTTCTATGCCTGGGGTTAATCTACACTTCCTTGTGGTTGTAGGCTTGATCACAGTCCTACGAATCTACATCGTCGTTCCAGTTTTTCGGTTTGTACCGCTAGCGTTGTTAATTGGTAGCTCCTCTGATGCATTGTAGAATCTAGGGGCTTCATCATTCTTCTTCTTGAGAAATGCCATCCCTTATCGAGCTACTATCTCAAAAACCCGGACGCACTTAAACACAGCACATAGTGCGCATGAAACAAGACGACTGCTAGCCTTCAAGCTTAAACAGCTACTCCTTGGGCGGAAGTACCCATTAACACACCTGAAGAGATGTCATCTAAAGTTTTAAACCGATATTGTGCCCAAATTATATGCCGGTGCTGGGAAACTGGCATTTATCGACTGCAAACGTGCACTCCGTTGCGGCTGACAGATAATGCGGAGGTCTAGAGGTTCCTTCCTCAACGAAGCTTGATGAGACTGCTGAATGATACTTTTTTATAAGGGCTGAGACATTTATTCTGTTAATGGGGTCACCTGATATCGCCTGGCCTGGTTGTGCGTTCTTGGTGGTCTGCTAGCAGGGGCCCCGACCATTCAGTTAGGGCCTCAGCAACCGCGAAGTGCTATCCATTAGAAGCTCTGAGGATCATCCGTCTCATTTTAACATTTTCTGAGCGTTTTAGTATATTTGCCAAATGCTTGAAAAGTGTCTAGTACTCGTCGTATAAAGGTTCGCAATGGGGTCACCACCGACAACGGAAGAGCTGCGGTTGTGTAACAGTGGCTCAACTGTACTTCATCGACGCTTCATCAACAGCCTGTCTTCAAAGTGACTTTAGTCCAGAGTACCTCTATAAGTGGGTTTACGGATAAGTGAGCGTAATCACGCAATGACGGAACGGGAACGCGTGCAGTTTCAAGACGGTTCGGAAAGGATGCTTGTCCAACTGACAAAGCAACAACGATGGGAAAGGGGAGCCACTGCAACTCCCTCAGCGCTCAGACAACAGCGGCAACTTGGGGGACTGGCAGAAGCGGTGGAGCAGAAGAAGACGCTCAAAGATGAGGGATATAAAACGAATCAGAAGTTCCACAGACAGCGACTTTTTCTTAAAGA